GTGTTACTGTGATTTTGGAAGCTATGCCACTGGGATTTTAAACACCAGCATTGTTACCTTAGTTGACATGTTTCAGTGGCACTTCCAGACTGAAACAGAGCAGGAAGAAGGAGAAGTGGACTACTGAATGACTGGCCACTGAAACCCTTATGAATGGCCGTGGAACAGTATAGATTAGTGCTGGAAGAGGAGCCCCTCAGGTTGGAAGAAACTCACCATACAATTGGGTAAAAGCAGCCTCTTAGTAAGATGGTGTTGGTAAGAGAGGTGTGGGGGAGGGGGCACTGTGGAGTCAGTTCCGACCCATAGCGACCCTGCACAGGGTTTCCGAGGCTGTAAATCTTCACAGGAGCAGAAAGCCTCATCTTTCCTCCATGGAACAGCTGGTAGTTTCAAACTGCTGACCTTGACGTTAGCAGCCCGTCTCATAACCACTACGCTACCAGAGCTCCTCCTTAGTAAGATAGGTAACCTTAATGATGTGAAGGGAATACAGCTTTCAGGACCTTCATTGGCTGAAAGTGCACAAAATGAGGAGAAACAGCTGCAAATGTCCATTACTAATCAGAAAACACAATGTATGAAATATGAATCTAGGAAAATTGGAAGTTGTGAAAAATGAAATGGAATGCATAAAGATCAATGTCCTAGGTTATTAGTGAACTCAAGTGGATGGTATCGGCCATTTGAATCCAATAATCATGGTTTACTATGCTGGAAATGTCAAATGGAAGAGAAATGGCATTGTACTCATCATCAGAAAGAATATTTAAGGATGATTCTTGAAGTACAATGCTGTCTGTATTAGGAAAATATCCATAAACCTACAAGGAAGACCAGTTAATATCACTATATTCTGATACATGCACCAACTACTAAAGTCAGTTTTCATGCAGCTAAAGAATTCTACCAACTTCTTCACTCAGAAATGGATCACACATGGAACCAAGATGGATTGATAATTATTGGTGATTGGAAAGAAGAAGCTGGAAACAAGAAGGATCAATAGTTAGAAAATTGACCTTAATGATAGAAATCATTCTGAAGTTCATATAATAGAATTTGCATGACCAATGACTTATTCATTGAAAATAACTTTGTTTAAAAGCATAAAAGACAGCAATACATATGGACATCACCAGGAATCAAACTGACTATGTCTGTAGGAAAAGATGGTGGATAAGCTCAGTGTGACCAGCTAAAATAAGTCCAGTAGCAGACAGTGGAACAGACCATCAATTGCTCATTAGCAAGTTCAGACTGAAGCTGGAGAACATTAAAAACAAGTCTGTGAGAGCCCAAATACAACAGATTTGATGCATAAGACACTAATGACTGAAGACCAGAAGAATTGTGAAATGACATCATTACAGAAAGAAAGCAAAAAGTCATTAAAAAGCCAGGAAGGAAAGAAAATATTAAAATGGATATCAAAAGAGACTCTGAAACTTGCTTTCCAGTGTAGAGATACTAAAGAGCTGAACAGAAAATTTCTTAAGGCAGCTCGAGAAGACAAAGCCAAGTATAATGAAATGTGCTAAGACCTGGAGTTAGGAAACCAAAAGGCAAGAAAAGGCATTTCTCAGTCTGAAAGAACTCAAGAAAAAATTCAAGCCTTGACCTGAAATATTGAATCATACAGAAAGCTTCAAAAGAAGATGGAAGGAATACACAGATTCCTACCAAAAAGAAAAGGTCAATGTTAAGCCATTTCAAGAGGTAGCATATGATCCAGAGCCGATGGCACTGAAGGAAGAAGTCCAAGGTACATTGAAGGAATTGGCAAAGAACAAGTCCCTGGGAATTTGCAGAATACATACTGAATTCTTTCAACAAACTGATACAGCACTGGAGATACCCACTCATCTCTGCCAAGAAATTTGAAAGACAACTACCTGGCCAACTGATTAGAAGAGATCCATATATGTGACCATTCCAAAGAGAGGAGACCCAACGGAATGTGGAAATCATCCAACTATATCACTGATATCCCATGCAAGTAACATTTTCCTTGAGATAATTGAAAAATGGCTACAATATAGTACATTAGCAGGAAACTGCCAGAAATTCAAGCTGGATTCAGAAAGAGGATGTGGAACTAGGGATATCATTGCTAACATCAAATGTAGCTTAGCTGAAAGCAGAGAATACCAGAGAGATGTTTATTTGTGCTTTATTGACTAAGTAAAGGCTTTTTACTAGATGGATCATGACAGGTTATGGCTAATAGTGCAAGAATGGCTATTCCAGAATACGTCATTGTATTCTTCAGCAATCTGTTGTTTGAACTAAACAAGGAGCTACTGAATGGTTTAAAATCCACAAAGGTGTGCACCAGGGTTGTGTCCTTTCACCATACACATTCAGTCTGTATGCTGAGCAAACACTCCAAGAAGCTGGACTCCAAGAGCATGGCATCAGAATTGAAAGAAACCTTATTAACTCTTTGCAATGTGTAGGTGATACTACCTTGCTTTCTGGTAGCAAAGAGGACTTAAAATACTGATGAAGATTCAATACTAGAGCCTTCGATAAGAATTGTGCCTCAGTGTAAAGAAAACAAAAATCATTACAACTGGACCAATAAATAGCATCATGGTAAATGGAGAAAAGATAGAAGTTGTCAAAGACTTCATTTTACTTGGAGCCACCATCAACACTCATGGAAGCAGCTGTCAAGAAATCAAAGGACATATTGTATTAGGCACATCTTGTGCACAAAGACTTCTTTAAAGGATTAAGAGAACAGTGATATCAGTTTGAGGAGTAAGATATGCCTGACCCAAGCCATTGTGTTTTTGGTTGCCTCATATGCATGTGAAAGTTGGACAGTGAATAAGGAAAATGTAGAAAAATTGATGCATTTGAATTATGGTATTGGGGAAGAATATTAAGAGTACCATGGATTGACATAAGAATAAATCTATGTTGGAAGATGTACTGCCAGAATGTTCCTTAGAAGCCACGATAGTGAGACTTTGTCTCCCATACTTTGGACATGTTCTCAGGAGGGACCACTCCCTGGAGAAGGACAACATGGAAGGTAAGGTGGAGGGTCAGCACAAAAGAGGATGACCTTCCACCAGATGGGTTGACACAGTGGCAGCAGCAGTGGGCTCAACAACAACAATGATTGTGAGACGGTCACAGCACCAGGCACATGAGTCCTTGTGAGTCGGAACTGGCTTCATGGCACCTAACACCGACAAGAACATGTAAGCATGAAGTCACTCAGTGATGATGCTTAGAATCGATCTTTGGGAAAGGCTTCTTAGAGGTAGTCTTTGGGAGATACTCTACAAGAATGACTCAATGTGAAATAGCTGAAGGTAAAGGGGGTAAAACGGATCATTGAGCTCAACTAGAAGAAGAAAGAAGAGGAAATAAAGAGTAATCTGATACAATCTGATGAACTTGACCTACACCTATGGATGCAGTAGCTCAGAAGAGGGAACAAATCTTTACAGTGAGGATCATTCCCACCCCCTCCATACACAGAGTAGACAGGGATGGGCAACTTGGACAGTGGCTACCGAAAATGGGGGGAGGGGAACTACAAAGGCAAGAAGTGACTGGCTTACAAGCTTTCAAGCAGGAGCCTAGATCCAGAGGGCGTGGAGGAAGGTAGAATCTCCATTGAGTAGTATCCAATCTGTTTGGGTGGGGCTGATAAAAGGTGATGCAGATAGGTCTCTTATGATACAATAGTGAATAATTGTTATCAGGACTGATTGTGAGGGTTGGAAATGTAAACTTAGATGTTTTGTCACGAGGAGGGGAGTGATTAACTTTGCAGTCTAGGAGCGGAGATCCCTGGGACCATCAAGGGAGAAGAGCAGAGAGTGGGACCCTACCCAGAGAAGCAGCGATGCCTGAGATGGAGGCAGAGAAGATGATGTGGAGAGATGGAGCAGTTGGGGACTTTAGACCCAGAGAGGGAGAGGGGCTGTGTGCTAAGGACTGGGCGGGGGGTGGGGGAAGAGGCTTGCAGTGTATACCCTTTGGTTGGTTGATGATGCATGGAGGGGATTGCAACCATGGCAATGAAACGATATATAATAGGATGAATGTAAAGCTAATGTTCTCCCATGTAAACTATCACAGAATTCACAATAAAACATTAAAAATACAAAAACGGATCCCTGGTATGGAGCTGTTGGATAAGCCCTGGATTAGTAACTATAAATGTGGCAGTTCAAAAAAACAGCAGCCACCCTTGAAACTCTCTTACAGGGTCACTGAGAGTCAGAACTGACTCGATGGCCCAGAACAAAAACAACAGGACTGAAAGGAAGTCATTGGGAAACGTAAAGTGTTACCCCACTCAGCTGTTGTTCTGAAGGTTGGGGTTCAGCGTCACCCTGAGGCTTCCTGGAAGAAAGTTCTGATGATCTACTTTGAAATATCAGCCAGGGAAAGTCTTATGGAGAGTGAGGGTTTCTACTCTGGCACGTGGAGTTAGTTCACACAACTGGTATAGGGAGACTAGAGAAGGCACACGTCAGTCGCCAGCGGCAAAAATGTGTCTAAATTCGCGGCAAAGTTTAGAAGGGATCATGACTTCAATGCAGAGAATCACAGTGCCACATCTCAAGCCGAGAGCAGCAAGGATGAATTAGGGGGTCCCTGGGCGTTTGAACCCACCCTGAAGTGCTTCAGAAGAAAGACCTGGTGATGAGCATCTGAAAACCCTACGGAGCAGTTCTGCACATGTTGGAATCGATGATCTGCTTCCAAGCAACCCTGACAACCAGGGAAGATTATGTGTAGTCCTGATAGGGATTTTCGCGTTAAAGCAGGTACAGTGAGAACCACCCTGCATCTCTGTTTCTTGTGCATCAGAAGCTGGAGTGGAGACTTGCTGGTTTGACTTTGTCTTCCCGGGAGGTTTGGGAGAGGGCAGAGATGGATGACCATGCCCACTCGAAATGACATCATGTCAGCAGTTTCCGTCACGTGTTTGTGAAACCTGTCTGCGTTTTCTTGGTCGCCTAAAACAGGTGGATGGATTTGTGCACGTGTCCGGTTCTGCCACAGATGGTGTCCGCCGAGACAGCACCTGGGAAGCACAGACTTACGTTCACTTTTCCGATAATCATGGAGTCACTGTTACGATCAAGCCCGAACACAGAGTTGAGGACGTTTTGTCTTTGGCATGCAAGGTAATGGGTTTTGCTGCTGAAATATACTTGTGAATAGAAATCCTCATTAATGTTGTACCCCTCTGCCTTCCACATTTTCTATAATGGGAAACACTGGCATATTTACCCATTCACTCCATTCCTTCATCTTTGAGAAAGAATCTGTGTTTTAGCTCCAGGCCCCTTGCTTTCATAAAGAACCTGAGCTGTTCTACTGAAATTCTGTGTACAGACTGTCCCCAACTTAAGGTGGGGTTACGTTCTGACTACTCCGTCGTAAGTCAGTTCTGACTTAAGTCGGACACCTTCTTTATTTATTTTTAAGTTTTCATTTCAAAACATTACAGTGTTTTGAACCATAAATCATAAAATTGAATATCCATGAGTAGACATTTGAGAATGATAACATGAGCAAATTATGTGCCGTTTTATGGTTATAATATAAGGTTATATTACTAACGATAAGATGTAAAAATAACACCAAACTGACCTTCATAAGTACACTTTGTCCCAGCTCTAATAGATTGTAAGTTCTGTCTTTCTAACAGAAATACCACACCAGTTGATGACATTAAGAGAAATTTATTCTCTCATAGTTTAGGAGACTTGAAGTTCAAGTTCAGAGTGCCAGGTTGAGGAAGGTCTTTGTTACCTTCCTCTGTCTCTTCCCTGGCTCTAGGAGCTTCCTAGCACAGGATCCCTGAGTCCAAAGGAGTGATCTGCCCCCAGCCCTAATTTCTTTGTGGTAGTCAGAGCCCTCTGAGCTCTGTTAGCTTGTTTAATCCCTTTTATATTTGAAAAGAAGGAGCTCTGGTAACATAGTGGTTACGAGTCAGGCTGCCAACCTCAAGGTCAGCAGTTCAAAACTACCTACCAGAGGTTCTGCAGGAGAAAGATGAGGCTTTCTGCTCCTGTAAAGATTTACAGCCTCGGAAACCCTGTACAGGGTCACTGTAAGTCGGAATCAATTCTGTGGTACTTATCAACAACAACAACAACAACATATTTGAAAAGAGATTGACCCAGGATACAACCTAACTCTGTAGATAAACATGATAAAGGTCTACAACATAGACGATATTGTATCAGCTCCCAGATTGGAGAACGCTCACACAACACTGAGAATTTAAGGCCTAGCCAAGTTGACACATAATTTTGGCGGACACAATTTAGTCCAGTCCTTAGCATTTGGGGCCTTCCTGTTCCCCCTCATATCTACGATGCTTGTGAGCCCTGTTGTTCATTCTTACTTAGAGAAGGTGCTGCAAACTGTGAAGAAGTTTCATTTAATCCTCGTTTTTAACAAGCTTCTCTAGATTAGGCTAATAGATGCCATCCATAGTTGCCTTAAGGAGTTGATAGGTCTTGCTGCTTGTTTTATTACTGGAGCTGAGCTTTACTTCCATTCTGGAAAGGACTTCATGAATGGAAAGGACTTCATGGTAAGGCTCAGAGAGGTGGTGTTGGTAATGGTTGGTTATGTGCTGTGAAGCCGGTTCTGACTCTTAGCGAACCCCGTACAGGGTTTCCAAGGCTGTAAATCTTTACGGGAGCAGAAAACCTCATCTTTCTCCTGCAGAATCACTGGTACTTTTGAACTGCTGACCTCGAGGTTAGCAGTCTGACTCATAAGCATTTTGCTACCAAAGTTGCTTTAAGGGAATCCATTGACTAAGGGGAAATATGTCAACAACTGCAAACCCGTTTTCATACCACCAGGTGGCATAAGAGAGCTTAAATATGTCAAAGATTTCAAAGAAAATGCCATGAAATATATGAAATGATGGAAAAAGGCCTGTTCAGTTTGGTAACTCTTTACCGTGTACATTGAAAATATGTGAAGCATGTTTGATTTTAGTCCTTAGTCACTCTGACCTGAAGGGTAGGATCTGTGTGGTTGGTTGGTAGTTATGTGCTGTGGAGTTGGTTCTAACCACGTAGGGTTTCCGAGGCTGTAAATTTTTACAGGAGCATAAAGCTGCACGTTTCTCCCATGGAACCGCTGGTAGTTTTGAACTGCTGACCTTGAGTTTAGCATTCCAACTTGTAACCACTACGCTACCGGAGCTCCTTTAGGATCTGTGTATAGTAGCCTACAGTCTAATTTCCTTTCACTCCATTTATCCAACAAGCAACAACAGTGTTCTATACGGGTGGCGTTGGTCAGGGGTATCAGATGTGGTGGGTTAATTAAACCTGTTTGGAGTTCTGGTGTGACACTGTAGGATTAGCACTAGACTGTTAACTGCAAGGTCAGCATATCAAACTCACCAGCTGCTCTTGGAAAACATATCCAAGGTCACTATGAGTCAGAAGCAACTCGATGGTACTTATCAACAAGAGCATCACCAGTTGCCATTGAGTCGATTCTGACCCATGATGACCCCATGTGTGTCAGAGTAGAACTGTGTTTCCATGGGGTTTTCAGTGGCTGACTTTTCAGAGCTAGATTACCAGGCCTTTCTTCCAAGGCTCTTACCTTCCAACCTTTCAGTTGGCAGCCGAGCACATTAACCACTTGAGTCGCTTGGGGACTCCAGTTAGAGAATTTGTTGTTGGTAAATGCCGGTGAGTTGGTTCCTACTCATAGTGACCCTGTACAGGGCTTTCAAGGAACAGCTGGTTTGAACCTTCAACCTTGTGGTTAGCAGTCCAGTCCTTATCCTACAGCACCACACTAGAACTCCAGTTAGAACATGGTGATGGTGGCGGTTGTGTGCTGTGGAGTTGGTTCCTATCCCTAGCAACCCCGGATAGTGTTTCTGAGGCTGTAAATTTTACGGGAGCAAAAAACCTCTTTCTCCCATGGAACTGCTGGTAGATTCGAACTGCTGACCTTGTGGTTAGCTGCCCAGCTCGTAATCCACTATGTTACCAGGGCTCCTTATCTTGATTGTACCAGGATTGATAGGATTAGGAGAGAACATCTTGATTGTATCTTGATTATATCTTATATATAGCTTGATCATATCAGGATTGATAGGATTATACCAGGATTGATAGGATTAGGAGAGAACATCTTGATT